TTTCAAGTTTGATTTGCAAATCTGTTCTTCAGCTTTTGCTATTTGTCTAGAATCAACTATCATGCTCTCCACAAAAAATGAGAATCCAGTGGTTTTATAATGGGATCAACTACAACTGTCCCTTGGTTTAACAGCAATTCTCTCTCAACTAATGCCTTCTAAGCATTACTGTGCTCAATAGATAAATGATCCAGACTCACGATATGCCAGTTTTGTTGTTATTTGCAAGATAAGATTTTATTATTTTGCAGAGATCTACTTGGACACATTTCTTAACAGCATTCTTAAGATTTTGAAGAAGTGTCCTGCAAGTTCTTTGCTTTTTCACGGGGAGGACACACCTGGATTTAACTACAGAGGAAAAATTTAAGTGTCCAGAATCTTTTATGCTTCCAGCATCCCTAAAATTCCATTGTTTTCTTTTTAAGTGCAAGTCATCTTTATTTTCAAATTGACTGCAGTTTTAAGAACCTATGCCATGCTCCTCTTGGACATGGACAAATTTAAATTTAACCTTTACCTTCAGTGCTTGGAATCTCTCCATGATAATGTCAGAATTTCAACAATATTCCAGTGATCAGCTCCTGATCAGGAGCCCATCTCCTCCCTCCTCCCACCCCAGCCCTTTGATCTTACTGAAGGAAATGAGAAAGAAAGTTGTCTTACCGATAACTCCAAGGTTAATGTCCCTTGCGAACCCCACCTAGCAAGTCGACATCATGACATGTCAGGTCAGCCTCAACCACGCTTCCCTGATAGTCAGGTAAAAGGAAGGAGTTAAAATACAAAATTGACACTTGCAGATTTCTGGACATCAGAAAATGTGATGCAATATATTCTGAATTCTCTTTCAGAGCTTCTGGTAACCTCCAAGTTGTTAAAACATTTCTTCAGAGGGATTCTCCTGTTCTACAATTTCAAAAGTTCCTGATCAATAACCAAATATTGTCGATCCACCTTGACCATTTTGTTTGAATGAGAACAAAAGCTTAAGACTTTCCTTTTACAAAAATAATTATTTTTTTGTCCCCACTCTACACATTTTATCAACTAACATACACTCAACTTAGCCACTCCAGGTTTCAAAAGACATTTTAAGCCAACAGAATTTGAATGAAGCCGTTGTAGTCTAAGTTAACAGAAGCTCTAACTTTTTTTTCTTTTGAAAAAAAACGGGAAACACAACTTGGTACACAAAAAAAATCTGATCTACTTAGGCAGTCCACGAGGATGACAGAGTTCAATCTGTCAAACCTTCACTGTACAAACAATCCTTAATCACACTAGTACTCCAACTCAAGTCATGCACAATCAAAGATTATTCATGACAGATTTGTAAGACAGGGTCCTTGCTGTTCTACATATGGGCCACCACAATTTTTGGATAACAACTAAGTCTTGCTGAAAATCCATACACCTGCATTAGGGTCTACAGGTCTAGGTGCCAAACACGTTTTACTAAGAGGTTTATGACTTTTTGCTCAACACTTCACGTTTATTTTTCTGCTAGCCTTATAATAAGAGTGCCTTCTGTGATTTTTTTTCTGTGTAGTTCAAAATACAGAAATGGGCTTCATGTCCAAACTCAGAGGGGACAAAAAGCAATCAGGTTTTTACACAGAGTCACCAAAATCATGCGGTGATCTTCTAGTCAGAGTTTATTTTGAAAAAGTTTAAGCAACGCAGTTGTCATTCTTTCTAATAATTAAACTACAGAAGCTCAGTTCTGAAAACAAACAATTTCTACAAAAAAATTAAACCTTTAATGCTTTGAAAAAATGCAGGCTATGTTTAATGAATTAGTAAAATGAAAAGCTGAGTTTAGTGAACTGATTTTGTTAATAATGTGAAAGTAAGTCTATAATAACACAATAGCTGTAAAAATCTTTTGCTCAAGTTTTGGAATTGCTAGGAATCTGGCAACCTACTTCTTATTTTTAAGTCAAAACACTCTATCAATACAGACATTTAAGCAACTGCTATAAATGAGTGATCAAATGAGTATTAAAATCCCATTTCATGGCTCCTCCTCCAATGCCAGCAGGATGCTCATAAAAGTTTAACATTGGTTTGCAAGTTGAAATCCATTTTCAACATATTCTATAAGAGGATTTTTGCTAAGTTATACTGAAGAAATGATCAAAACAGATGCACAAGAGTAAATTTAAATTTATTTTTTGTTTTGACTATATATCAAAATTGTGCTGAGAAAGTGCAAAATCCTTCCCTTGAGTATCTGTCATCAGGCATGGTAAATTTTTCCACTGCACTACTGTATCTTTGTTTAATTTTTTTTTTCAATAATTTTGTTAAGTTCTTCCAGTTCACTATTCACCACTACTTGAGTAAGTTGTAGTACACTTTAAGGATTCCGTAAAGCACTGCTGTAAATTTAAATGGTGAATTTGAGTATCCACAAATCACGTAAATCAAAGAACTTGGTATATCTTGTAAATATAAACTTTTACTGATTTTAATTTTCAATTATAAAAATGTATAGCTCACTTCTCATATTCAATAAAAATACCAGGATAAATGGTGATTGGGACAGAAATACATACAAGATGCAGCTTTACAATTCTTGAGGAAGACAATTTTAACATTTTTGTTCCTTAGCTGTTTTGTAAGCATTATAACTGAAGTGTTTCACTTCCTCCCCACGCCCCCCATAAGCATGCACTGGCACTTCACCTCTCTTGGGCTAATATTTGAGAAGTGCAGTATGTGAACACTCTCTCTCTTCCAGGACGGAGAGCACTTTAAATTTGATTCCAATTAGGCTCCCTTGTGCCAGATCCCCTTTACAATGATTACTGAAAAGCACATACTCATTGGGACTACAGGGTTCTGCTCAACATCACAAAAGCTATGTACTTACTATAAAGTTATACTGATAGGACAGCAAACCCTTGTATTAAAACAAAATTACAAGCCAGATCCTTGCCACAAGCAAAAGCCTGAAATGTACACCCAGGCAATACCCCTCTGACTTCACTGCTCAAGCAAGGAACAGAGAGGACAGTATGTGGCCCCATGAACTTTATGAAGTGAAAAACAAAGAAACAAAAAAAAGCCACCCCAAAAGAATAAGGGCTTGAACATACTAAATACTAACTTTGAAAAGCACTTTAAATGATTTATGACCAATTCTATTAATTTGAAAGGCAAAGCCTGACAGAGGGACAAACCCATTTTTGAGAACCAGATATACATCCTCACTTCAATCCAGGTCAAAACGCAAACCATGCAATTATATACCAGACCCACAACAGTACAGCGTGGGAAGGCTCATCTTTCTCCTTACATTCTGACATAATACACTTGAGAGACACCAGACAGGAATAGAAGACAAAGGGAGGAGTATGACCACTGAAGTTTAACTTTGTCAATAGTCTGTGTTTAGAATGCTGTAAATCAAGTATGAGCAATGTATTTGATTTGGATATTTAGAGGTCCGGCAATAGTTTTCTTTAGAGAAAGTTTAAATCCGTTTGTTTCTCTCTTTTCTTGAGAAGCAAATGTTCTTCATTGGGGTACAGAATGGCTCAGACGCAACAGAAGAGTAATGTCATGACTTGCCAGTTAAAATTGACATCTGGGAATGTCCAAGACAAGGGTCAAAGCAACACAGAATACCCCAGTAATGTAGCTAGTAATGCCCCCAAAAGAGATTACTTTTTTTTTTTAAACAGCCTTTATTACAAGGCATGCGAATTCTAAGGCAAATTGTTCATCATGGCAGAACATCAAATTAAAATGTCAAGACAGAAATAAGCAGAATATGGAGAGTATGTTTGTGCTATCTGTAGCAAGAAGCTAGTTTACTGTGCCACAGCACCTAATTTATAATTCTCATCCCTACACAAATGTTATCTTAAATTGGAATAAGGTGCTTGGGATCAAAACCATTACCCTATGTGTTTGTATGCTGAATAATACAATATCGCTGGATACTAACAGAATAGCCTCTAGAGGGACTCCACAGTACATAATAAAAAGGAATAAAATTAACACCATTGTAGGCTCTGCTTCCTTCTCCACATTAGGTTAGAAGATTATATTTAAATTAGATCTCTGCGAACGTCTGGATCTGGATACATTTCAACACTTTTAAAAAGAAAAAAAAGTTTCAAAATTAGATGCTGGTAAGTTATTGAACAGCAATTAAACAAAGAGTGCCCTTTGGGTTATCAGTAATTTCTCCTACTTTTTCAGTCTGATGTCCACAGTGCTACATGTTGGAAAGCACAAGAAATTTTGCATTAATTTGATCACTCACATAGGCAGTTATACTTTGAAAACAATGTTTTTCGCAAGAATTAGCAATGAAATAATGTTTTAGGACACAATTGAATTTGAAATAGGTAATGTTTTGAATAGATTTTTGAGTTTTATTGAAATCTTACACGAACAAGAAATTGGAAATACAATCACATCAAGGAACAAATTGCCACGGCTTTGACGTTTTAAGCCAAACAAATTTTGTAGGGCAGATTTTCAAAAAGGTGTGGTTATAACAATTTAAAAACACAGTTAACCTACTTCTAGGAATGCAAAACATACAATCATGTTATTTTCAATACAAGAAACTTAATTTGTTGTAATTTCTTAAAACTACTAAGACAAAGCACTAGCTTTTACTTTTATGTACAGCATACTCCTATGTAGTCTATCCCAAATCCAAAAAAAAAAAAAAAAAAAAGAAACTGTCCAAAACCAGAGGTTCTGCAAAATCATGATTGAACAGTGTG